GTTTACGCTGAAGACTTGTTTCCCTGCTGGGAGTCTGGAATCTGGGCAGGTCGGCTGTTCCGGTGGCCGGAGTCTGGGCCGTGAGTAGCAGCAGACATTTCCCCCTTTCTCTTCTGGAGGCTGGAAGTGCAGGACACTGGCAGATCTGTGTAACTGCAGCGCTTAATTGGTCTAGATAATAAAAAGCCAGAGTCAGATATAGAGGGAAATGCTGAGAGGTCAGAGGAGGAGCAGCCACAGCCACACCTTACCTCCTAAGCATCTCAGCAGACAGGAGAGGGATTTCCGGCTGCTCCCTGCTTATATCCTCTTCCTGCCCAGCTACCTCACTTCCTGTCTGTCTGTACAGACCTCCAGACCTCTATGGTTAGCTAGTGGCCAGCTCCATTCTCCGACCTTCAGACAGGCTTTATTTGTACAGGCAGGATATCACCACAGATCTGCTTCTGTGAGGCCTCACTTCCTGGTTCGTGAGTAGCACCATGGGTGTGTCAGTGGTGGAATGGGGAGGAAGCCTCTTTTGTGAGTGTAAAGCTAATCCGGAGGTTCCGTCCTTAGGGCCCAACACCTATAGGGAACCAGAGCCAATAGGATCCAGCTCTCCTTTTCTCTGTGTGTGTGTGAGTGTGTGTGTGTGTGTGTGTGTGTGTGGAAATTACTGGGTCCGACAAGACTTTTCCTTTGACCCCAAGGAGAATAAAATCTAGGTCTGAAAAGAAAAGACTTATAATTGTTATAAAAAAATAAGAGATTCAAGACATACAGAAATGGGAGAAAATTTGACAGGGAAATAGCTGACAGAAAGAAAGTCTGGTGGTTTGAATGAGAATGTCATCCCAAATAGGCTCATGCATTTGAGCACTTGTTCCCCAGTTGGTGGCAGTTTTTAGGGACCTTTGGCCTTAGTGGTAAAATGCCCTGGAGGTAGGTTTTGAGAGTTTGAAGACTCTCACCATTCCCAGGTTGCACTCTTAGCTTCATTCTTGTGGTTTGAAAATGTGATCTCTCAGTTTCCTGCTCTGCCATCATAGACCCCTATCCCTCTGGAATCCCAAGTCCAATTAAACTACTACTTCTATAATTTGCCTTGGTCATGGTATTTTATCACAGCAATAGGAAAGGATGTCACAAGCTTTCAGTTTGTGCTTCTTGTTACAGACCAGTGAAATTCAGATTACCCTTGAGGAGACATGAAAAGTTAGAGGGCTAGACTCAACTCACTCTTTATGGCTGCTAGAACTGATGAAACCTGAGTATTTCATAAACATAGTGTACCTGATTGCTATGAAAGTGTATGTGTGTGAGTGTGTATGAACACATGAAAGTGTGAACACACACACACACACACACACACTATGAGGAATTGGCTCACACAGGTGTGGAGCTGACAGGATCCAGGTCTGCAGCTTGCTAACTGTAGACGCAGGAGATCGGTGGATACATTTCCTCTACCCCTGAGCCACGCCCCAGCCCCTCACTGGGGGATTCTAGGCAGGGGCTC